GGCCGTGGGGCGGCGGGGCGGCCGCTGGGGGTCGTTGAGGGGCTGAGGGGCGCGGGAACCGCTTGTGAGGTGTGAGGGGACGTGGGGCAGGGAGAATGGGGCTGCTCAGACCGGGACTGGCAGGGGGCTGCGAGCGCCTGGATGGCAGTTCTGGGGGGACGGGTGAAGAGGCTCCCGCACAGGCAGCACTCGCAGGGTGTCCCGAGCGAGGGTGGGTGGGACTCGGGTACAAGTTTCTTTACTCTTGCTTAGGAAGCAGCGGTCAGAAACGCTTTCCTTTTCGGAGTTACGCTCCCAAAGGCACTCTGAGGTTTAGTAGGTTATTCTGCTCAGAATGCTGTGAGAACGGAGGAATTCTGGCGAAGTGCCAGCCTGCAGTACAGCTCTTTGCTGAAGTTGTCTCTTTGCATTTTAATATGTCTAAGGTACTGATTTGTTTGGTACGGTGGTAGTCCCCCTAGGGTGGGAGATGCTTCCTTGGTGGCAAGGGCCCGAGGTATTTTCTTAATGAGGAACTCTGCCCCGCTTCTGCTCAAAATCGGGGTCATACGGCAAAGTGAAAGCTATGCAAGTCCTTCCTTTGCCACAGAAGGCGAAGGAGTTCAGAAGATAAAAGTACTCAAGTGTTCTCCAGAACAGTTTGTTCCTGTAAGCTGGTCAAGGTGTTTCCTGTGGAGAAAGTGTTGACACATCACCAAATTGGTTTCTTACCACTATTGCAGTATGTGATTACAGGTTAATAAATGTAAACTCTCTGCAGGGCGAACGTGCACGCAGTCCAGTCTGAGCCTTTACAGATCAGGTACTTGGCAAAATAGCTAAGGCTGAATGTGCTCAATGTTACAACTGTATGATAAATAAGCTGTTGCACTTGATAGTTCCACGTGTTTTCAAACACTGCAAGGATGGCCAGGCTTACTTAGACACTGTAGAGATAAGTATAATATTGAAGTGTAGATAGGAATGTTCTAGTTTTATGGTTCTTTGACTAAGATATGCTCGGGGTAATGTTTAATTTGCTGAGAAATAAAAAGGTTTTGTTTACGTGTTTTGTTTGAGCTCACTTCCTCCTCTCTGACACAGAATGTATCTTCCGTGGGTAGCACAGGAGGTCTTGAATGTTGTTTTTGGAGAACTGTTTCACAGCAGCGTAGGAACTTGTGACAGTTTTCTGTTCTTTCTAACCTAATGATGGAATTCATTAAAAAAGTTGTGGAGAACTAAAAAAGGATTTTATAAATCTATTTCATTTGTATGGGAAATGACAGGTGCATTGTAAGTTGTCATTTTTGTGTGTTTATGTTGTAGTGGGTTGTATTTCAAAACTTATTTTAGTATATTTGTATTATTTTTGTCTACAAAATGCATTTCTGTTTTAAGATAAATGATCATTAAGACTTATACGTTATTGCATGAAACAAACAGAGTATTAACCCTTTGTCATTTCTGCTGTTACCTTGTTTTTTTCAGAGCTAGAGAGTGGAACAGAAATCTGTGAGCTTTAAATGTTCTTTCTTACAAATTCCAGATCCTTGCGTTTACCTACTGCCACCCATCAAGTATTGTTATCTCTGTAACAGGTTTCATGTTCATAGTGATGGGGAAGGGGATCTTGTATTCATTCTTTGTAAACATAGTTGCTTTTGGTAGAACAATTGGGTCTAATGAAACAACAATTTGGTGGTTGTTGCGTTTTCCATTACGGGCAGTTCTCTCTGCCTGTGTGAATCCTGGTGCAGTTACCTGGCAGCAGTACTCTCTGTTTGCATATCCACTCTGCTGGTAGCAACTGAACTTTTAATTAAAAGCTGATTGCCTTGACATTGCTGTTCATGTGTTGATGCTTAGTTACTCAAGTTTTTTCTAAATCGGATTAAAGTAATCATTTATGGATTGTGTTTAATTGTAGGGTAGAAGTAGTAGGCTGACTTGCAATGAGGCTTAGTCTGTCTTGTTGGCTGGTACATGCAATTGGGCTCTTGAGAGTCAACTTAAAATGCGAGCTGAATGCAGTACTCTGCAATGAGAGTACAAAGGAATAATATATGTCAATTCTGTTTTGGGGTTGGTGGTCACTGGTTGAGTTTGACAGGAATTTATCTTCTTTTCTCCAGACCTTTGTTTTTCTATTTATTGCAGTTGACTTCAGTATGGCTTTGTGTGTGTGGTTTGTTTTTTTAATTGTGTAATTTTCACTTGTTACACAACTTCGTACCATGGATTGTTGTTAATAACAATTTAGAGAGATTGATAACAATTTAGAGCCGCTTTGATCAGGCTAGAGCGGGATTTGAGTTGAATTGCCAGTGCTATATGTAGAAGGGTTATTAAAACTTGTGCTTTAGACTTTGAACTAGCTTTTGCATGGTGGAAGGGTGTAAGCAGATTTTCAGGCAGTCGTCTGCTGTGGTGTTCTTCTATCTGTGTGCATGCCTCTGACTCACCTAGACCTGTGCTGGAGGCAGGCTATAGAGCTAGACAGGCTGTGCGTCTGAGCCGGTGCTGCAGCTTTGTGTCCTCATGTCTAGCCAGGTAAAATGCTGTCCTCATCTAGTGTGTGTTGGTTTCACTCTAATACACGTAGGAAAAAAATGTGTTTAGGTTCAGGCTACCTTCCCATCCCTTATAGGAAGAGTGTATTTTCATAAGTATATAGGCTATCTCAGACCATCTCTGCTCTGAAGGCTTTGACCAGTCCTGAGGGATACAGAGCCTGATCCAAAAATAAGAAATTAGAAAGTATGAATCAAGTACCTGGTGCTTAATAAAACACTTCGCAGGCAGAAGGATAACGTGAGATGCAGATAATTGTGCGCATGTGTCCCTTTTTCGAACACAACTGCGTGTGAATGGCTGCTGACCAGGGAAAGAGGACCCGTTGGTACGTGGTAGTAAAACTGAGGGACCTCGGTACTTCTCTACAGTCTGAGCTCTGACTACAAGCACAGCATGGCTTTAAATTACCTGAATATTGCTAGCAGTCTGGTGTGGGCTAAATACTCAAAGACTGATCTAACTTCTCAGGGAAGGGCTGTGGTCAGTGCTATGGTGAGGTCTGCTCGGCTGTGAGGACGCTGCTATTTATCTGCCTGCACTTTGTGCTCCGCACTTCAATGTATTTGTGCGGTGCAAATGTTTCTCCAGCCCTCCCCTGGTTGCCCACTTCTATTGCAAAACCCCAGACGGTCTCCTGATCCCCAAAGTAATTCCAGTCATAGTCTTGATACCTGCCTGTCCCCACCTCAAGCTTGTTTTCCTTCGTTTCCCAGGGACTGTTATTATAGGAAACCAGAAATTAGTACGTTGAACTTGCACCAGCTGGCATTCAGGGAGCACAGAACACTCTGCAGGGATGGGTAAGTGTTGCACAGGTGGGGAGAATCGCTGAATTCACTGCTGAATTGATGTCAGAACAGAACTTGTCCACATGCCAGATCTTTTAACCACCTGGTGGTTTGTCCCTCCGCAGTCAACTATTCAGTCTTCAGAGAGCATCGCAAGGTTGAAAACTTACAATTTTCTTTAAAAAAGAGTATGACTGTCAGATCAAGAATACAAATTCGGTATTAGTTTCTCTCTTCTTTCTCAGCCTATTTCCTCAGAACTGAGAGATGGCTGCTTCTAACCTCTGAAAGCCTGTTTTGGCTTTTTAAATTATGTTCCCATAAGGGACTTCCTTTAAAAAGAATTGTTGCTTTCTGAGACACTGTTTATTCTTCTCAACATCTGTAAAATCGACAAATTCTTCACATTAATTGCTCTTGAGGTTTTCACTGGACTCCAAAATATTAATTAGGCTTCCTTCTCTAATGCCTTCTGGTTTCTCTGCCAAATAGCTCTTGGAATAGGAATTTCCACATTGTATTTCAGTGTAGACCAAAATACTAATTTAACATCAGGGGTTTTTTTTATGCTGGCACCTTTTTATTATATTCAGAAGATTGTGGGATATGCTTAAAAGAATATATTTAAGCAGCATATGCTTTGGATCTTTTAGTTTAGCCTCTAGACTGATGTTAAGTGAGATTTTTAAACAGGCATATTTACCAGACACTCTTTTGGGAGCAGCTTGTTGTGTAGTAACCTCCGCTGTAGAAGGGTAGTTCCTTTGGGCATTATATATTCTATATATGCACGTGGATAATTTCAAATTGCAATGTCACAAGTGGCATCACTGAACCAATGTCACTGACTGTCTGCATGAACTTATATTGATTTGGATTGCTTCCCAAATGAGTCAGAAACTATGATACTGCATCTGCTGGATATCCAGACTGAAACTGATGTGACGCCACTTTTTGCTGATGTCAGAATACCTTGTTCAGAAAGCAGTTGCTACAGACATCAGTGAGTGACTTCCACGTTTCATTCACCCAGATGCTTTGAGTTGTTAGAATCACTCAGATGTATAATTTCTCCAGTGTTGTGTTTGAGGACGTACTCTGTGAGGTTGCATCATGCATTGATAAGTTTTCTTCCAGCAACATGTTGGTGCTTCTTAGGACTTTGCCTGAGCCACAGTTATTTGGAAAACTGCTGAGCAGTGGCGTTCCCGGGAAGGGAGGGTTGGTGAGCTGCAAGTTAGTTCTCCATGGCATTATGGTGTTAGAATAATCACAGCTGGGCTGGAACCACAACTGGTACTGCTGCTCTGTTGCAGTGAGGAACCTCTTCTCTATAGGATTGTCTTTGAATTTATTTTATGCATATCTTAAAATGGAGCTTTTATTCATCTAGTGGAATAAGTTTCTTTATAGATACTTGGATTTAATGATTTGGAGAACAGACAGGCCCATGGTTTCCTGAACAGGTTTTAAAAATAACAAATGATTCGTTAAAAGAAGGGAAGTGTTTCTCTGTTTAGATTAACTAATTTACTGAATCCTTGAACCTCTTCCTATATATGCCCTGTATTCCGGGCTAGAAGCAGAGACGGATAAAATGTCAAGCTTGATAGATTGTTGGAGCTGTTTTTTGGTAGTTAAACAATAATGAAACTGTTACATGCTTGCAGGGAAACACTGCTCTCTGTGTGCGAGACTTCGTCCTGGAGAAAGTTTTATTGTTCCAAAGAAAGGCGATTTCTGAAATGCAGCTTCTGTGGCTAGTCACACAGCTGTCTAAATTACTGGCTGCCTTGAGGCCATTACACAAGCATTACAAAATAGTTTGGAAACAGTTTATTTTTCAGATTCCAAATAAAGTGTAGATTTCAAAGTCCCTCTTGACCATATCATCAAAATGTAGAAATTGGAGCTGGTGTTTATAGAGAGACCAGTTTATGCTCTTGGCGCTCCCTACGCAGGTTCCTTCCAGTCAGAAGCTGATACTTGCATAATCCATACCTTACATTTCTTGGATTGAAAGGTTTATCAGTTGTTGCATGTGATCATGGATTTCCTGGTCAGCCTAGTCAAATTGAGTCTGTCGTTGTGCATCTTTTATTTCAAAGGGCTCTCAGGTAAGAGGAGTAAAATCTTGTCTCATGTAGAAGAGAAGTCAGAGGGAGTTGATCAGGTATTTAATAAAAATAAAGCCAAAATCCTCAACCTTCTTTCTGAAAAACTTTTTGTTCCTTCTGTTCCTGTTGTTATTTATACTTCTTGCTTGTTATTTTGCTTCTCTGACTCGAAGACAGATCACAGACAGATTTTGCAATGGAAATAACCGACTTAAGAATGTCATGCTGAATGAAGTCAGAAATTCCTGAAAAGAATTGAAATATGTTGTTTAGCTTGCTGCTGGGGCTTCGGAAGGGAATTGCAATGCCTACAAAATGTGCCTAGAGAATGAAGTTGGAATTCAAAGCACCAAAAAATGACTACCTGTATATAGCAAAGTAATGTGCTTAAAAACAAAGTACTTGCAGCATTTCTTTTTATCTGCTGATGTCTGCCTTCAGAGGCAAAGCTGCACATAGCTTTATCTGATAGACACAAGTGGTTGCTGATAACCATCTCTGAACTCTTCCATGGGTGAAAGCCTATTCAAAGATTTTCAGAATGCGTATATTTTAGACACAATAAATAGCACGTTTAATACAGTTTTGCCATTTTAGTTTGTTCACCTTTTGCTGTGTTAAATGCCATTTGTGTCACGTTTTCAAACAATGTGTTCAACTGCATATAATGAAGCCTTTTCATACAACAGAATGTAGGCCAAAGCCAAGCCCAATTCATGAAAGGCTTTACTTTGTCTAAGTAAAGTAAGATGATCATTCTTGGAATGAGTCCTGTCTCTTCGTCAGTGTTTTCCAAGTGGTGTTCTGCTCAAAACCTAAGTAACTTGGTAAGATATTGTTATGGAGGCCTAAGCTTGTATTTTTACTTCAGGATGTGGCTCTTAATAATACAAGCTAAGGCTTTTATTGCTCTATCTGGAATAACAGATGCAAGCTTGAAATTAAATCTGTGGTACATGGTAGCATTTCCTAAAAATTCCTTTAATAAAAACAAATGTAACGAAAGGGATATAAACTATTACTGTACTGTATACTTGACTGATCAGCTTTAATCCTTGATTATGGTGGAAGCAGTCTAAAAATATTTATTGAACCTTCTGAACTTTTAAATAAAGAGGAGGTTTTGCAACATTCACAAAAGATTTGAAATCTAAAATCCTAGCTGTTTTTCTGAACAGCAATTTGATAGCGTGCTGCCTCCTTCAGACGTTATTCTTGTCTCAAGTACCAAGAATGTCTCTCTGTTTTGTTTTGGGGTGTTGGTTTTTTGGTTTTTTTTTTGACAAGGACACATTTGTCAGTGAAGGTTGTTTTTTTTTTTTTAAGTTAAAATGCCCCATTAAGTAAAAACAACCTTTTTCAGCAACATTTTATTCTGCATGTTACTGTAATTTTCACTATGAACCGGTAAGAGTTAAACAAACAAACCCCAGCAAAAAAAAGACTAAAAAAACTAATGGGACTTGAATTGTCTTTTGCACTTGCCTGAAACAAAGTTGGCCTTAAAATCATCTTGTCTTGTCCTTTATGTGTGTTCTACTGTTAAATTGTTAGGATGTTCTGTAAAAGTGCAAGGAGGTTGTTCACTGTAAGCATTTCTTCACAAAGTGCTTTACTTCTGTGATAGTTTTCTGAAAGTATTTAATTCTATTATGAATACAGTATGCATACATATATATGCATACAGTGCTGCTTTGAAGAAATGAAATACCAACTTGATTCCAGTCCCTGATGAGGTATTTACCTGTATTTTGGAAAACTGAGGCACAGAGAATTGAAGTGACCCAGATGCACAGAGCATCTGTAACAGAGCTAGAAACTGAAACCAAAAATCCTCAGCCCAAATTGTCACTTATTTAATTTATCCCATTACTAATCTGAAAGTAATTACTCAATGGAATTCGTTGACCTTCAGGTCTTTTTTAAAAATAGGAGTAAGTGGTACGTGATTTTGTCTGTGTGATCAAATTGGGGCAGTTTCTGCTGACCTCTTGAACTGAGAAAAGTCGAACTCAAAATGGAAGAAAGTTCGTGTTGATGTTATCAGGTTATTGGTGGAAAAGATTTTGTGCTGCAGGGAGCTTCTTAGTAGCAGAAGCCATGTCCACTTGTGCCAAAATGTCAGATAAGTTATTATTTGTTTTGGATCTGGGAGCAGAAGTGAAGATGTTTTATTTAAAATATAAGTGTTCTTTGTTGACAAAGGGCTGTGTGAAAGTACAAGACAGCTCAGTATCTGTTCCCAACTTCCATGATAGTTGGTATGTTTTTTTTCTTAATGCTCCAATGCCAGGATTTAGTCTAATATGAAAATCTTGTCTGTCATTTTACAAAGCAAACAAACCCAGAATGGATAAAAATGCTTCTCCCAGTTACAGAGGAGCAAAATGAAAATGTGATAATGCCTTTGTACTGCAAAGGTTGAGGAAAAAAAAACCACCAAAAACAAAAACCAGCAAACCCAAGGCAAACTTAAAAACCCCAAAATGAAATAGATTTATTGGTATATAAAACCCAATGATTTCTGGAGCACTGACTCATGATGTCTGAATGCTTGGGCTTGCCAAAAGCTGTGAACTGAAATGTGACCCTCGTCTGCTTGTCGGCTTGGGCCATATATGGGAAATTTCCTCTTGGTGACAAAGGTGGGGAATCCACAAGGTGCAGGTCCTTAAAGGCTGATTGAAGCTTGCACCGTTTGAACCTTGTATTCTCTCAGTCTTTTAAAAAAAAATATATTTTATACAGGTAGGATCCAACAATGATTTCACGTTCAGCAATCCTGACTCTTCTTTGATGAACAGAAAGTGCAGCAGTTTTCGGTGAGCTGTGCCTTCAAACAACGCCCTGTCCTGCCTATTTTGGCAGTTCACACAGGTGCTTAAAATGATGCAGAATTTTAGTGTTCTG